AGCCGCTTCCTTCAGCCTCGCCGATGCTCCACTACTCTTCAGGGGACTAAGGGCCGAAACGTACTGAGGGGAAACAGCCCAGAAGACAACGACTGACACACATGAAACACAACAACGCCCACCACTGGGTTTCATGCGATTGCTTAAGTGTAACGTACTTGGTGACGGTCCAGTTTGGCGATCACATTCAAGTCTGTCTTGTCAGAAATTCCTCCGTGTAGAATCAGAACTTTCTGGTCGATCACTGTGGCCAGCAGCAACCAGCTGAAGATCTTCTGCAGAAGTTTAAGAATCATTTTCCCATAAACCTGTGATGATATCAGAGAAAAGCGCTCAGTAACGCTCTTTCCTGTCATAAAGACAATCACTTGTGTTTGGAGCCGTTTACTGTGAGTTCTCTGATAAGATAAAACGAGTGAAGACACTAATATAGTTACCATTATAGTTATTCTTGGTGTAAACATGACTTGTTTTCTGGCAGCTCTGCACACCTTATTTAGAATTAAATCAGTTGAGTTAATGTCTGTTTAATATAAAGAGATTAAGTCAAATGGTATTAACAGATAAAATACACTATATGGACAAAACTAGGGACATCGGACCATTACATCAAAAGGGACGTTAATGACATCTCATTCTCAATACATAGACATTAATATGAACTTTTCAGGCACTGAATTTGAGGCAGGCAGGTAACGTTCTGCTGGAATCCACCAAACCCAGACTCTCCCATCAGACCGTGTGATCGTTGGCTGCGCAGAACAGGTTTCCTCTGCTCCAGAGTCCAGTGTCAGCTTGCTTTACTCACGCCATCCCACGCTCGGCATTGTACTGGTGATGCGAGGCTTCATGAAGCTCTGCTGCACAGTATTAGTGCTGAATAATTACGGTCACCTCTAGGAGAAGTCGAGACCTTAGTCACCTCTGTTGGTGACTTTTACACAACATGAGCCCCAGCACTCGGTGAGCCACTCTGTGGCTTTATGTGGGCTTGTGGCTGCTGTTCCTATACACTTCCACTTTCCAGTAATACCACTTACAGCTGAAGGTGGAATATCTAGCAGGCATGAAATTTCACACACTGACTTATTGCAAAGACAGTACCATGCTTCAATTCACTGAGCTCTTCAGAACAAATTCTTTCCACAAATATTTGTAAATGCAAGCTGCATGGCTAGATGCTTGATTTATACACCTGTGTCAATGGGTCTAAATGAACAGGTGTTCCCTAACCCGAACAACAATGTGCTAAAATGGAAACGTTTTTGCTTTGCGTTTTTTCATGTACTGAAGACAACATTGTCATAACCTTCCCTGGTCACACGGATCCAGGCCAGCAGTTGGCAATGCGATTTTTGTAAAGAAATACTACACAAACATGTAATACATATATGCATGAATCTGCATTTTTGTAATTTACACAGAGACAATAATGGTATCACTTTCTTGTGGTAACTTGTGCTTTAAGACCTGTTTTCAAAAGTTTGCATTTTCACATCCCCAAAATGCTGCTGTCGTGTAAATGAACGGCCAAAACACATAAAAGGTTTTCTGTTTTTAGTTGAAAACGGTGTTGTGTAAACAGCCCCTCTATAATTCCTTAAGAAATATAATAATAATACCTTTTATTTATAGGCGCCTTTCAGGACACTCATGGCCACCGTACAGTATAAAATAAAACATAAAATGCAAGCATTATAACACATTAAACCAGCAAATCATTAAAAGCTATTCTAAACAAATACGTTTTTATCAGAGCTTTAAAATGGGAAATTGAATCCAGCTGGCAAATGTAAAGAGTTCCATAACTTCGGCGCTGCACAACTAAAAGCCCTACCACCAACTGTGTGAAGAGTTTTGAAAAAGTGACTTTAGTATTTAGAAATGTGTCAATCTAGTGATTGTAAAAACCGTAAACACACACACTCCTACAGCTTCCCCTGACAGATGAGAAAGACTGATGACAGATTTATTCACTGATTTTGTACCATGTAAATGAAGCTGCTTTGACAGGAATAATTGTTCTTGTTTGTTTTTGAAGGCGTGCTCCAGCTCCGTGACGTTGGAGAAGCTCAGCGGGAAGGAGAGATGCAGGCCGGTGTAGATGTCTGGAACCTCAATGTGCTTATAACAGATGCGTCTCTCCCACTCCGTGTCCTAAGACACCTCGCTCTCACCAAACATCTGAGAGACCAGATGGCCTGAAGGAGACGCATGTGTCAGTCTGTTCAGTTACCCTGAGCACTTCATCAGATCAGACACAGCTGAAGAACTTGCTTCTTACTTCGGCTGTTGGCAGAACTGAAATGATCCATCAGGTAACCGAAGAAATTATACAGCTGCAGAGACACAAACAGCATGAGCGTGTTTCATGTGCAGAAATATTAACAAGACTTTTAGTGCAATAACAGGCCTCTGTGATTGTAAATCTGTGCTTCATTACTCCTGGTGAGACGTATCTGAGGAGAAGATCCATGTTGTTTCACCTTGATATGATCCTGTTGTCCAGAATACTCTATCGACTGAAAGATGTTCCAGGTGCAGCGGCGTCCACATACTGACGATACCAGTGCTGGATGAGCAGCGCCGCCCGCATCGCATCACACAGACTGAGAGAGAGACAGACACAGTCAGGCCAGCAGGAGACATGAGTGACGGTGATGTTTCTTTAGACTCACAGAAACATGCGATCTGTCTGACCTGTAGCTGCTGCATGTGAGAGAAACCAAGAAAAACAGTGTCATTAACACTCACTGACAACAATGAGACTTACTGAAATAAATGAGGAGGAATTACCTGGAACTGAGATGTTTCCTACAGACAGAGACAAAGTCAGACACAGAGCAATGTGAGCTGTTTCTCAGGCAGATATTCAGCTGAAAGCACTGAATTTTTGAATCATCTTGTTGGTTCACGCACCTCGATTGCATGGTTTCAGCTGCAGTTGGTTTGATTTCGTGACTCCGCATCCCATGTCACATTAGTCAGCTGTAAGTACACCTATGAATTCATTCATGTTTCTCAGATTCATGATCTGAATTTCACTTTTAAACAATTATAAATAATTCCCATCACATCAAAGAAAATCTGAAATAATGTGACCCATACTCTTAGTTTGATTAATTGTTAAACCTGTTTTGTACAGAGTAGTTTAGCTCTAATTCTACAAAAGACCTCCAGCCACTGTGCTTTAGAAACAGCAAGAGAACCTCACACTCACCCGCTGAGGGTTTGTCAGAATCCCTCCATGACAGCAGAGCCTATGAAGTAGTGTGACCAACTTCACTCTCAATGAACCTGTAGAGAGAGACAGATGGTGAGATATGGAGCTGATCCGCGTGACCGCTTCATCAAAACAACACGCTGCGGCTGGATTAGGGTTAATACTGCGGCTCGGCTCCAACCCAGAATAGACAGATAAAGAGCTGCTAAAGGCCTCCGTGCGTTTGAGCCTGTTGCTCTGCTGTTCAGAGCCGATGTCCAACTCACAGAACGCTGAACACAGCCACATGAATTAGTTTTTTAATGTTTGTCATTGGCAAACAGACCAGTTCTCCCCGTTCATCACTGGTATATTTAATAGGCTTTATTATAAAAGCAACTGAATTCTACCAGATTTGATCTATTCTGAGTTATCTATTCAAATCATGAGCATATAAATCTACTGTGATGGGACTGAAATAATACGGCACACTATAAGCACATCTTCAGAATTTTGACTAATAGGTGAATAAGGTTAGGGTTATGCCAGAAAACACAATTTCTTGAGGTTAGCAGTGAATGAAATGATATTATAAGTTGTCCTCAAATGGCACCGATTCCTCAGAATGGCAGATAAACTGTTGTTTCTTTCTTTAGATTGCCGTTCACACGCAGGTGTTGGAATTCCTCCTGACGCAAGGGAGTTACAGTGCGACGGCCTCAAGGACAAACACGGCCAGCGCTGCTTTGATTCAGTTCATCTGAGGTCAGAAGAGAAACTACAGATGCTACAACAATGTCCAGCTTTGTATTTCTCATGAGAAATGACCTGCGGAGTCAAATAAATATCAGAAAATATGCTTCTTGTGTTTAAACATTGACTGATTAGTGATCAATAACCCAGCTTTAACCCCCAGTCCTGAACATGCGCTCGCAGTCTTGTAAAGTGTTACTAACCCGCTACATTATTTTAGGCCATCGCAATGAGTCAGGAATCCACTGGAAATTCATGTCAGCTGATACAATACAATACAACTTTATTGTCAACCCCAATAGTTGAAAACTGTCTTTGACCACACCATTGCCCTCAAACATACATAACATTAAAACCACACAGTTATAAAAAAAACATATCAGATCATTCCACCTTTGTGTTTTGATTCAAATATCCAATTACTGCAGGTATAAATTCATTCTTATAGATGATTCTCTCTGCCCTGGGCATTAAATAACGTCTTCTAGAAGGCAATAAGACAAACTGATCATTCAAAGGATGAGTAGCATCTTTCAAAATGCACTCAACTTTCCTAACACAACTTATTAAGCCTCTTATTAAGAAACCACAACTAGATCCTAGTGAACTGGCAAATTGCAGACCCATTTCACATTTTTATTTTATTTCTCAAATTTTAGAAAAAGTTGTCTGCTCAATTGTGCTCCTTCCTGCAAAAATTATATCTATGAAGAATTTCATCATAGCACAGAAACGGCACTTGTTAAAATTACAAATGACTTGCTGCATGCATTATCACTTTGTCTATTTAATCAGGGAATCATCTCAATTAAATCCAGTAAAGTATGGAGTGCCACAAGGATCTGTCCTAGGTCCTCTGCTATTTTCGATATACATGTTGCCCCTTGGTAATATTATTAGGAAATACGGGATTAGTTTCCACTGTTATGCCGATGATACTCAACTATATATCTCAACAAGACCAGATGAAACTTCTAAATTATCTAATATTTGCAGCTCAAATGAATATTGGATTTTAAAACTTTGTTGCATTACACACTAAACTACGCACACTAACGGTCACTTGTCCTGGGAATGAGGCGCGTTCATGTATCGCACAGATGCTGGCCGTTTCATGAATGGCTTCTTTATTTGTGCCGCACTGCTGTTCTTTCTGATATTTTTCATATTTTTCATCTGTCCTCCCGCAGGTTAGAGCTTATCATCTTTGTTAGTGTGTAACCATGTGATAGTGTTTTTCTCAGTTCCACCTTTATTCTCCACCTCCTTCTCAACACCATCCGTATGCTCGACATGAAAACAGTACAAAGTATTCCAAGGCCAAGCTCGGCCAGGGTAGATAAATCCCTGCTTTCCCAGGCCGCTTCAAACAACATCCATTCATTCCTCTCCAGAGTCCAGAGCGTTTGTCACGAGACTCGAGCGTTATCCTGCAGTCATGCGTCTGGTGCTGTGTGTCGTCGCCGTTCTGTTCGGGTGTCCTCTCGGAGAGATGTTTGTTCTGCATCCTTCACCTGAGGCATCTGCTGTCAAAGCCAACAGGTAAGAGCTGAGGATTTAAAGATGAACAATGTCATGATGAATGGATCAGGGCGTCCTGTTTTAATCACCTGCACTTTTGTTCATTAGGAGGTTTTGGGGAGATCTTTCCAGCTCGTTCACTGTGATCAGTCTATTCACTTGAAGTCTTAGATTTGGTAGAAGTTTAGGCTGATATTTTAGTGCTCGGGGCAAAAGTTGAATCAACCTCATTACAATAGCATGCTCTTCTTCCATTTGAGACTCAAATGGGCTGATCGTGCTTGACTGACCAAAAGAGAATTGCTGGATATCTTCAGAAAGCTTTTCTTGCTCTGGAGTTTATTTGTTTGCTGGTTTTTATTGTATTAGTTATACTATTTTTGAATTGCTTTTTCCCATGAAAATAGCCTAAGATGCAGACATGTCATTTAATAAAAAAATACTACTACTACTCTCTTGCTCTGGATTTTACTTCAGTGTTTTGTTGTGTACAGGTTGACTGCAAAGACACATGTAAAGTTCTGGAGGTATAAATGAGGGCATCTCTCTTCTCCTCCGGTGTCCTGTTACAGGGTCAAACGCTGAGCCTTCACAAACACGCCAGGCTCCGGTAGCACACGGCTGTGCTTTAAAAAATTTGGCTGCCGTTGGACAGACGCACACACACGAGGTCTGCAGAGGTGTGATGACACAGCATTTTTTGTTGTTGTTTTTTTTTGCAGATGCAAGGGAGAACTGGAAATCAGGAAAATCCTTCTGGAATCTCTAAACCTCCAGCAGGAGCCTCGTGTGTCCGTGTCGAAGATGCACCATTTACGTGAGCAGTGGAAAGCCAGTATGAGAAGCAGCCCCACATCAGCACCAGGTACCTAAACCCCAGAGATCAGGCTCAGGTGAAGACCAGATCAGCCCGGTTTCTGGTGAAGCTGATCTCTTGTCTATTTAGCAGGTAACTCAACGTTTCCCGAGGACTCCAGAAACTCCAGCTGCTGCAAACATTCCTGTCAGGTCTTCATTAAAGGTGAGCGATCAGATGCATCCCGCTACGTTCTCGTTGCTGCAACATTTTTGGTGTTAAAACCAGCTTAAATGAAAGGCCGTACGGCTACAGTGTATATGAGCGCAATGTATAAATACTAAACACTTCATTAATGAAAGCAAGGCTTCGTTTTCTTTAGACATGATACCATTTCTTTTCTTTTGTCTTGGTTTTGGGGTAAAATGTGACATTGGGCTCATCATGCGTGTCTTCTCTTGTGTAAATGGGTCAGATCTGGGCTGGGAGCGCTGGGTGGTTTATCCGGAGAGCATCACCTTCGTCCAGTGCCGATCCTGCGGTTCTGAGAGCGCAGACGCACCTGCGCAGGTGCATTACCTCGGCATCATGTTCAGTCGATCTGTTTTCTGTTCTACACAAACATTTTTCCTCTCATCTACGGGCCTCAGACTGATGAAATGCTGATCTTAATTGTCTTCCCACAGTGCTGCAAGCCGACCGCTCACGGCATCGTCCCGTTCCTCTACGTGGACGACTGGAGCGGTTGGGTTCTGTCCTCGGTGAGTCTGATTCGCCAGTGCGGCTGCGACCCTGGAGAGCAAACACAGGACCCCGAGGTCATGACCCCATCCTAGAAAGCCTTCCTGACCCGCAGGTCACGTGAAACAGAGCCACAGAAATGCAGTAGAGAAGCACAGCTTTTTGGATTCGTAGGTTTATAGCTAAGCAGACTTATTTAGCGTCTTTTGCTGCTGTTGGGAGTCAGACTCTCTGACTCTTGTGGGCTGTAAGAGTGGACTCATATAAAGTTCTCAGAAGAGGCAAAAAAAGTTCTCAATCTAAGCATGTTATTTGACTTTCACAGAAATGCACAATGGACCTTCTGTTATAAATCAGTTCAAGGCCAAATCTGTTTTTAACTTCGGGCTTTTATGGGCCTGTGGCTGCAGCAGCCAGCCAATGTTCCCTGAGAAAATGCTGTCGAGCAGCTCTGCCAAAACTCTCCCCGTGCGAATCTGAGGACCAAACAAAGCGTTACATCCAAAATGGCCTTCCTTTAAATCAAATTCTAATGTCAATGATTCCTCTAATGTGGCGTCAGGCGTGATTGTTAGCATAACGTGAGCTGCGTGTTGAGAAATGCCCGGTCTTGTTGAAGAATCGAACGCACATTCCAGCAAGAACATTTCGACTGCGTGTTTGCAAAAACCATCTGGCCATAAATCAGCATCATTTCAAATTCAATGTATAAACAGTATTCAACCCAGGGTTATAAATGATTGAATGTTTCATAACTCGACTTCCATGTTGTAGGCTACACAGCATTGTATTAGAAAATATCAAAAGCATTTCATGTAATCCAGGAATGGCAAACTAACACTTTCACATGCATGTTTAGCTAGTATTTAACAAGATTTACACTTTATATCAAATGTATCAGCAGAATGTTTTATTAAAGAAAGCTTTCATGGCATAAAGATGTGATGTCCTTACTTCACTTCATAAAAGATCCGTTCAACATTTGTTTCTCGTGTGTGTGTGTGTGTGTGTGTTATTTCTGGCAACTTCTGTTTGTAACAAAACAAATGCTGAAAATATTTATCAGAATGAACTCATATGAACTTCTCTTGTGCTCATTTTTCAGTGGTTAGTAATGATTGCAGACACAGGTTACTTGAAGTGCATTTCTGAAATGAGTGGCTTATTTTGGGAGTTTATTGGCACACACTGTTTGAAAGTGTGTGTGTGTGTGTGTGTGTGGCTGTTGCGCACTCAGTAAAAGAGTCCAGAGCCTCAACAGCTCTCTGTTCCTGCTGGCTTCAGACAGACTCCACAGACCTGCGGCCGTCTGACCTTGAGCACTGAAGAGAGAAGACAAACAAACAAACGCAGGAACAACTCGTCCTTTCCTGAAGCACCATGGCCTGTGTGGGACCTTCCTGGCTGCGCTGGGGAGCGCTGCTTTCTCTCATATTCTGTGTGTTTGCTCAGGAGAACAGCTGGGAGTGTTTGGACAAGGACGAGATTGTTACTGAAATGTCCAAGGACGCTGAGATGCCGTCTGAGTGTGTGTTGAGCTGTACAGCACTCTCTTACAGACAGATCGCAGACAGACAGCAGAAACTCACGGTCCGCTTCAAAGACTCGCAGCCTGGTAAGAGCCGCTTCACCTCTGGTGTGTGTTACATGTGTTAAACAAAACCAATGAGGCTCTTTCCCAGGGTTCATAGTCTAGCAAACAGTGCCCAAAAGCTGTAGTGCAGAAATGTGCAAAAATCTTGTACAGTTTATACACTATATGCAGATTATATGGTATTTTAGTTCAGTAATTGTGACCTCAGTCAACAACAGTCATATATATGTGTGTGTGTACATGTATATATACTATAGAGAGTGTACTAGTTTTCCCACTAGTTCCAGCATGTGGTCTAGCATGACTGAGCATAAACATGCTGCTGTGGAACAGTATTTATTTATTCACGTTCATATCTTTGTCGACTCCTGCAGGTGAGTCGGGGGACTTCTGCTGGTTTATTCACAGGAGATGCAGCACATGGGATGAAGTTTTTGTTTTACTGTCAGTCAATGAATCCGTTCCGAATGGAGAATCGATTCAAATTCAAACCAACTCTCCGACTCACCTGATCCCCGTTCAGTCCCACGACTCTCCGTCCATCATCCCTGACGACTGCGGCCTTCGCTTCGACGTCACGCCGCACCTGACCCACCTGAGACACGTGACACACCTGCCGCTCTGCGTCCGGCTGACAGGCATCATGGGAAACCACCTACAGTGCCCACCCTTTCTGGTCATGATCAGGAATAAAACCAGTCTGACCAACTCCTGAATGAATCTATAAACATTATAAGGCACAATGGTAAAGATTTAGACAGATAAACTCTTAGAGGTTGTTGTATTTCAATTTCAGTTCGTTTGAATTAATGTTTCAGTAATATGTGAAGTTCCAGTTTAATATGCTTTAAATTTGAAGTATACATTTTATTTTAATTTGCCTTTGTAGCCTTTCTGTTTTATTAAGCATTTTATATTTAGTAAACTGATCAAATCATTAGAATGTAGTCCATGACCCCGTTTATTTACAGCCTACATACATATATATATTTTGTTAATAAAAATCTGGATGCTAATCTCTGTGTCTACTGTGATTTCATATTAATATGATATTTTGATTTTCAATCTAAATCACTGAGGTAGATTTTAAATCTGTCAAACAAACAAATCAATAGTATGAACAACAGTAAATCACAACAATTATTGAAAATTCAACTCTCACACACAGATACACAAACACACACACACAGACAGAGAGATACACACACACACACACACTCACATATCACATTTGTTTAGTCAAAAACACTCAGAATGTTTTGGGTGTTATTACATAACATTTAGTTTTTATATGTGTACAGCTGTTCAGAACTGTGCTAGCTAACCATGTGCTGATTAGCATCATTGAGCTGAGTTCAAAAGTATCTAAAATTGTCACAACCGAAACAGTATGTAGTTGTATAGTGTATTTATGCTCCATCAATGAAACGGTTCCACCAAAGCAGGACAAACCGCTGTGACTCCGAGCAACACAGCAGCGTTTCATTCCTGGTTGAGTGAATGATTTAGAAAGTAGACTTATAATTGAGCTACAGCTGCTTTAGTCTTCTTCTGTCAGCCCAGTTATACACGACAGCTAATCGCGTGCTGGACACTGTTAGCGTGCGCTGCTCGTACGCCCCCTCTAGCTGAAGCGGGAATAGCAGACATGTGCTGTTAGCGTGCGCTGCTCGTGCGCCCCCTCTGGCTGAAGCGGGAATAGCAGACATGTGCTGTTAGCGTGCGCTGCTCGTGCGCCCCCTCTGGCTGAAGCGGGAATAGCAGACTTGTGCTGTTAGCGTGCGTTGCTCGTGCGCCTCCTCTGGCTGAAATGGGAATAGCAGATTTGTGCTGTTAGCGTGCGCTCCTTGTGCGCCCCCTCTGGCAGACATGTGCTGTTAGCGTGGCGCTGCTCGTGCGCCTCCTCTGGCTGAAGCGGGAATAGCAGACTTGTGCTGTTAGCGTGCGCTGCTCGTGCGCCCCCTCTGGCTGAAGCGGGAATAGCAGACTTGTGCTGTTAACGTGCGCTGCTCGTGCGCGTCCTCTGGCTGAAGCGGGAATAGCAGACTTGTGCTGTTAGCGTGCGCTGCT